AAAAATAATTTTGAGATTGATATTCATATGTAGCCCAGTAATCAACCTCAGTATTTGCCACAGTATGTCTGCTTTTCGCTTCTGTCATTATAATTAGTAATTATCCAAAGACAGTACTTCACTCAGCAAATTGGCCCCAAATATGAATTTAAGTTACATGGAAAAGGCAGAGGCAAGAGACAGGAAGAGGTGGACAGGAGGAAGACAGGAAGACTGAGAGAAGGAAAGACTGGAGGAGGAGCTCCATGGGGGTAAGGATCCCTGTCTGACTTCTTTACTGCAGTATCTCAAGCATGCCGCATCAAGTCTGGCACATAGTAGGCACAAATAAATACTGTATAAAATACAAATAAAATTTATTGAGGATCTACCAGGCACCAAGATTTTCATATTTCTTTTTAACATAATCCTCTCAGTAGACTCAAGAAGTCAGTATTGTTATTGTTTCCAAATTAAAGATATGGATACTGCCTCAAAGTGCGCCATGAACGGCCTTGTAAAGGAGGAAAAACCATGTTCAGGATTGTCTAATTCTAACACATTTCAAATAAAAGGAAAACAGTGTCAGTACATTAGGAAAAGAGACAGCACAAATGAGTTATCCAGATGTTATGCTCAGTGACTGTTATAGGCGGCCCTTTGAAGATTTTCTTCATCTAGCAGGGTACTTTTTTAGGGTGCTTTGCATTTGAAAGTTCTCAAAGCAACACGAAGGAAAAACATGAAGTCCATGAAAAGTGAACCAGCAGCAGTACCTACCTACTCCCAACCATCACAAGAAAGGTGTCAGGTCACTGAATACATTTCAATAAGCTGAGGAAAAATGGATTACCTTTTATGTGTATTTTAAGTGTTTTTGCTGATCTTGAGAGAATTAAAGAAGCAATTTGTTCCAATGTACCAAACTCTTATGCAAATAGGACTCTGCTACTGCAATACACATTTATAGTCAAAGACAATACTTTGTTTTTAAGAGCAGCACACAATGTAACTGCAAGTGAAGTCACACACACACACACACACACACACACACACACACACACAACACATATACAGAGCCAGACAATGCAAGCTTCAATGGAGAATTTTTGCAATTACAAGCTGTACTATAATATCCACTGTCAAATATACTTTTCTCTACAGGGTGAGATTCCTTAAAAGATTAAAGTATTTTCTTCTTCTCTGCCTTGCCGGTCTTCCGTGGCATTTCATCCTTTCCACTGCTCCTTAGCACTCACCTCAAATTATTCACTTATTGATCACTGTATCATGACTATAGTCAAAGAGGGAGAAAAAAATGAGGAGGGGAAAACAAGAAGAGAGAGGAAGAGAAAGACAGACAGAGATAGAGAGAAGAGAAAGAGAGAGGGAGAGGGAGAGTTACAAATGGAATAATATTATGTACTTGGATATCTCTTTAAAAAAAATTTTTAAGTGTAGGACAAGAATAAGTATTATTTGTCAATTGATGAGCCTTAAGAAGATCTCAGAATAGGTGTTAAACAAAAATAGGAGGCATTTATTTGTTCAGCCCACTGAAATTTACTACATATCTACTGTGATACAAGGCATAGAGCTAAGGAGTAACATTTGGGAAAATGGAGGATGTGAGAGTTGCTTCATGGGTATAATGGGAAATTACAATTCATTGAATGGTACGTTTTTATGTTGCTATCAAAACCCATAACTAGAAGGATGCAAAGTTATAACAAACATTGCTTCAGTTCCGTTGAGTATTTTCCCCTTGAAATAATTCTTTAGCCAAGTTTCATGACACTGTGCTCTTGTAGTTTATGTGTTTATCTGTTTGCCTGTCTGCTTTTATATCTCAGCCCACTTTGCAGGGTTTGGGTTTTTGTCTGTTATGTAAATGTTGGTGCTCCTTAGGGTTCTGGCCTAGGCTTTCATTTCATGCAGTTCTACATATTTCTGAGTGTTCATTTGCTCTTGTGACTGTTACCATCTTCTGCATGTTATGGGCACCATATCTGATGACATCAAATTGTGCACATCCTCTTCAAATCCCTTGGAGCACCACACGTTATAAAACCTGCCCACCTCACCCCACAACACTGACTCCTGGGTATTTCAAAATACCCAAAATTGAATAAGCCAATTTCCGGCCTCCACTCATTTGTATAACCACGTTTGAAGGGGTTCAATTAAGAATCCTAAGAGCCATTCTTTTTTTTTTTTTTTTTTTTTTTTGTCTTTTTCCTTTTTTTTTTTTATCGGTACCGGGGATCGAACTCACGACTACCTGCTTTCAAGGCAGGCGCTTATGCCACTGAGCTAAATCCCCAGCCCCCTAAGAGTCATTCTTAACTCTAGTCTTTTTACTTCTAATCTCAAATTTCCACTGCTTTTTATAGTCTAAAATATATTAAGAAACTAACCCTCCTTTTCAGGCACCCATCTAAACACTGGCTTCTTTAGGGACTCTACTTGGATTGACCTTATATCCCAGCTCAACCCCTCCATATGCAACTCCACTTTTCTTCCATGAAACCTACTCGTATTGCCAGTAGGAGCAGGCTCCTTCAGTGATCAATACAGACCTTCTAATACAGTCTTCAGTATTATAAATAGTCTTTACCTCTGATTCTAGTATAGAGGGCATATTGCCTCTGGGTCCTTAGCCCCTAGTACACTGCCATACTACAATGGTATTGCTCAATCAATATTTGTTCAATGAATAAACAGAGGAGTTTCATTACAGGAAACAGGGAAGAGTTTAGGAATAAATAAAACACTCCAGGCTTTTTATTGCAAGAAAATTGGGAGAGGTTAAGGAATAAATAATATACTCCCTACCCTCCTTGAGGAGAATAACATTAAATGCAGAATGTCTGTTCTACATAATTATAAGATGATAATGAGTAAATAAAATCGACTCCAATTTAGATACAAGAGGATTTGCTAGCATTGCAAATTGGAATTAAATATTTAGCTCTCCCTTCTGAGATAATCTAATACACACTAAACACTTCTAGAAGACAGTTTTATGATTTTATATTACAGGTGGAAAAAACAGACATGGCAAAGTTAATTGAGTAACCCAAGGTTACCCAGTGAATCAGAAACAAAACTGGGACTTAAAACTCAAGGTTGTTAACCTCCAATCTCTATTGTTATCAATTTTTTTTTGGAAACTATTTTTTTCTGTCTTTCCCAAATATATTATTTTAAGAATTCAAACTACATAATCTCATAGCCTTCTCCAAACTATCATCTATTCTACTTATATTTGAATATAGAGTCTATATTCTAAATAGACTCACACACTTTTCCATGGGTTTTTCCTCTATTCTTTAATAATAAGGCTTTTTTGCCAGTGCCTCGGAACTATTTCTCTGAAAAATGTCAGCTCCCTGTATTAAAATCTGATGTTGACCACCACAACAAAGCGCCAACATTTGACTCTTTTACTGTAGGAAATCACACTGTATATTCTACATCTATAAACAACAATAGCTGCTGCATTCTATGGCACTGAGTAGATACATGAGTAGAAAATGCTGCCAATATTTAATAAACGTTTGAGAAGCAAAATAGGCTATAAAATTTAATGGGATTACTGACTACAACATTTGCATTGCAAGAGAAATAAGCTGTGTTGCCATTTCAAAAGAGTAGATACATTGTAAAAAAATATATATTTATACCTAGTCCTCTGGGGCCAATGGCAATTATAACACATAATCAAAACGTTTCAAAAATACTTTGTTCTCTTCTCAGCATACATACTGAGTGTACATAAAATTTTGATTTTTTACAATAAGTACTGTTGCCAGGGATATAGCTGAGTGGCATAGTGTCTGCCTGGCAAGGGCAAAGTCTTGAGTTTGACTCCTAGTACCAAAAAAAAAAAAAAACCACTGCTAATATTGATTTCACAGAGATTGGAAGGGGCGATGCACACTTCGATTTTTCCTAGTTTCACAATGGATCAATTAGTATACTTTCTTTTTATATATGACTGTAGCACAAGATGTTAAAGAGAATTTAATCTGTATAAAACTGTAGTTATAGTCATCATTCTTAGGCATATATAGAACTATGCTACCTCTGCATTTTCTCTTCATGGATATACTACCAAATATAAAATCTGCAATCATGATATTTTTCCTTTGTTCTTTTGGCTTTACTTGACCCACTTTCATTCACCAGAAGCAAACATTCTTCTCCTCAAAGTACTCAACTTAGTTCACTATATCAGTCTCTGATCCAGCCATACAGTTCCAGGCCCACAAAGAACTTTAAATGTCCAAAGTATTTACTGTTCTTAATTTCCAGCATGACGTTACATGAATTGGTTCTGTCATGTGAGTATAACTGATTATGTTACTCCTAATAAAGATAGACACTTGAGTTACACATTTGTATGTTAGCCCAATATAAAAAAAAAGAGAACTTCTGTCAGACATCAACTTAACATCAATTGCTCATACTATGAAAATGTCAATTAAAATTCTAGCTAAATCTTTCAAATACTATTTTCCAAGAAATGCGCATACTTGTAGGGTAAATTGAGAGGCTATATCAGGTAAATGTTAATTCTTCATAAGTTAAAATTCCTGGTTGGTCACTAATAGAGGGCAGCCTCTGTTAGTGCAAGACAGTGTTAATAGATGGAGCACAATGTATTTGATTTTCACTTGGAAATGTGGACTGCAAGAATTCATCCTCAGTCATCAGCCATGCTTTGGGGAGAAGACTTTGCTATCTTTATTTCCTAATGTTGAAGCGACCATTATATTACATCAAGGAATAAAGGTTCCTTTCAAGAATAATCTAGCGGCTGAGTTGGCTCCCTGCTTTAGTTTATAGGTGATCTCAAAGACATCTAAAGGAAGCAAATTGCTACTTCAGTTTTAAAGTTCTGAGATAGTGGTTTTTTTACCCCATTTGCTGTAGAAGTTTCAATGTGACAATAATGAAGGATAAAAGGGGGAGAAATATTTCAATTTCACAGATACTTGCTTGATCAGATAATTTACCTGCAGAGTTTCCATTTCTTCATCTTTTCTTTGGGTCTCTTCTAGCAAATCTACAATAATAAAATAAAACATCTATGAAAATGTAAATATGAGGTACCTTTTATCAGTACGTGCAATTCAGTCAATAACTTGTACAAAATGTTACCTGGAAAGAAGAGAATTTGATATAGAAGAGTAAGAAACAATGTTTTTAGGAAAAAAAAAAAAAAAAAAAAGCCCTAGGATTCCAACTGCGGCAATGTAGACCATACCAAATGTAAGCTACTTAAGAAGCTCTGGGAGGCCTCAAGCTTAAGAGAGATACCACAGGATGATACAAATCAATTACAAAGCCAAAATTATACCAATCCTTTGGGTATTTGGCCCAATCCTCATATAACTCAAAAGTAACAAAAATTTTCTTATAAAAAGGAAGATTTTCTTTTGCAAGAAAAATTAGAAACAAACCATTTTCCTTTAATATAAACTACCACACCAAGTTCCACCCCCAGAGTCAATTTTTATAACCAAATTTAAATGCCCTGGAATAATGAGAGCTATTAATGGAAGTGGAGCACCACCTCAACTATAAAGTCTTATTAATTATCATTTCACACTGAGAGGGTGGGAGCATTGAAGCTACATCTAACCAAGACCTTGGCATCATTTCAGAGAAATGAGTGGCTGGAAGGAAAGGCAGTCAACTGAAGAGGGACCTATCTTAGTGCATACATACTTAGTGCATACATATCTTAGTGCAATCATGGTGTCTCAGGGCCCTACATTAATTTATGAGCTGGCTATAAAGGAAAATGATTTGGCAAGCAGAATTTTCTGCCTACAGCTATACCACCCTGTGCTCTGATCTTAATAGATCTCACAAACCTAAAGAATGCTAGGCTGAGTCAGAACTTGGATGAAACTGACTAGAAACACCTACAGCAGTACACGTTAGTATTAGCATTTGCATTACTCTGAAGCTTACTAAGAGGCTGCGCTACATAAAAAGAAAACATAACTTACAGAAACCTAGTATGTATCCCAGAAAGATAAATACAAATGATTTTAGCACTGCTACACTAGATACAGCAGGAAGAAGGGATACAATGGGTGGGAAAGCCATGCCGATATATGTCATAATTGGGCAGGCAATATACTGAAACTTCAGAAGATCTGGAAGAGTATATAAATGATGCTAAAAGCACTTTGAGACTGCACAGCTAAGACTATAATGAAGTGGCAAGCAATCCCCACAAGACACAATGTCCTACTACTAAACATTAGAGGTAGTCTGTCTGTGTCCCTTAGAGGAACTGACTTTGCCTCTCTAAACCACCTATAATCAGTTAAGTCAATAATGATATAGGAACATACCAGTGTTTCAGGGTAGACTTTTAGGGGCCATCTGGTTGGCATATCAGATTCTTCAGTTATAAGGTATATAAACATACTTGGGGAATAACAGACTACATTAGTGTTCTCAATCATTCTTTCCCCTACAAGCTTGTTCATTTGCGTTAGGATGTTACAGCTGCTTCCATGAAGATGTCATGCACAACTGCTCCTTTACAGCTTACATCTAGGCTGGTCTCCTGACTTGATTCAGTGGGCAGAATACAGCAGCAAGAAAATGTGCCAGTGCACACGAAACTTCAAGAGGCCTTAAAGATTTTTACTTTTTATTTGGGACCTTATTATTAACATAGGAACTAGGCAAAAAAGAGATGCCTGACCCACGACTATTCCCACATCTGCTACCACAAAGGTTGCCCTGCTGCTAGCAAGCAAATGACCAGACCAGAAGCAACCAGCTGACCTAAAGGTGTCTATAGATGACTCAGAAGGAAACTCAACTAATACCAGATAAGCTTCCCAGCTAAGCCCAACACCAACTCAGGGACAATGAACTTAACACATGAATGTGGGGATGGTCTGGTACCAAGAAGTTGCCAACTGATAGGAACCAGTTGCTAAGTGAATATGAAGCATTTAGAATTTATTTAAGAATAATTAATAAATATACAGAGAAAGAGGACCCAGACTCTTAAGGAGTAACAACTAGAACAGGTCTGGGCAGGAAAAGCTATAGGTAGCATTAACAAGTGGCTATTTTATTTCGACCACTTCTGCTGTGGTAAGGGTTTACAAGGGAACAGATTTAATATAGGACAAACTTTGGAATTATTTTTAATACTCATTCAAAGAGTTAAATGCAGAACGCAGGAGATCTTGCCACACACCAGAGATCCAAAGAATCCGCCAGAGGGCCTCGAACCCAAGGCAATGTCATCCAGCTGGAGTTCAGCTGAAGGCCTAGAGTTCTTGACAATTTCTCACCGAAGTTTACAACAAGGATCTGCACTGAGAAAGCAAAGGAAGATAGAAAGTGCACCAGCAGGGTGAAGGATTTTTGCCAGCAGGCTGAGGGATCGGCACTGGAGCCAGGAAGTGAAGTTCAAAGTAAGCCTCAGAACTCCCCTGAAAAGAACCGCAGCCATCCTCAGTGACAGCAAGGTCCTTGAGCTCCTGTGATGATGAGAACTGCTGAGTGCATATCAGGAAAACCACCATGACAAGCGTCTCCAAGAGAATCAACAGCACACCACCTTCCCCTCCAGTTGTCCTTGTGTGCTGTTGGCAACAGTCCTCAGGTGGGCCTCCCACAGCCAGCACACTGATTCAGTTAAACTGGGTGATACAGTTGACCATGAGCTAATTCACCACAACTTCTAATCTCTATATTGCTGAATTGAAAAGGAAATTCTGAGACTTACTAAAATCCTTGCTTAGATCTCTAGCTTACTGCTTAGCCGACAAGTACAGGATATTTTCATTGATAATCCCAAAAGGACTGAACTATGAACAGGAAGAAAATATTCCACATGCAAAATCAGAGTATAATAATGAGAAGGAAATATGAATACCAGATAGGCCAAAATACAGACGCTTATTTCAACATGTTTCAGCAAACTGTGTCTTTATCTCAACTCTCTTCAACACTCATGATATATAAGATTACTGTTCTATCTCCAGGAGGGTGTGACCATTTTGTTTTACTGGATATATTGGGAAGGTCTTAGAGTTGGGCTCTTTTAAAGAATTGAATTGTTTAATGGTGCAGTGGAACTGGAGGGATGCATAATGGGACCCATCACCCATACAAGGAAACTAAACTTGTTCCTCCAGAGTCAAGCTGGTATGGAAACACAAGACATTTTGGATAAAAATTATTGGATAAATAATAGACACTGGTTCTATTACAACAACCAAACACAACTCACTCATCTGATGAAATTCAGATGTGAGGAGGTTCAGTCTATCTTTCCTTTTCAAAACTTCCTGTTCTTCTCCATGTGATTCCTGTGAAACTTTCCCTGATGGGGCCTAACTAACATGTCCTGCTACATAATTAGCTGATGAGTAAACCACGCTGGTGAGTAAACCATCTATCTGTTACCCTGCTGCTTTCAAGGTTGTATTTTCCCGGATGACAAAGGAACTTGCACAACCCTAAAGTGGGCAAAAAAGAAAGTAGAGGCAAGAAACAGAGAAAGAGTTGGTTGAGAACTGTATCTAATGAAGCTGACAAAACTCCTGGACATCTACACAATTAATCTTTTTTTCTTTTGATTAAATTAGTTTTAGTGGATTCTCAGGGAGTGCAGCTGTATTAAGTCTACTTCTCACACAGCACCTGCCTGGCAAGTGCAAGGACTTGAGTTCAATTCCCAGTACAAAACAAACAAACAAACAAACAAACAAACAAACAAAAATCTTATCTGCAGAAACCTGGAGAACTCAGTGTTGGGAAGAACTGTCTGTTCCACACTGAAACATTTCATTCTATGATACACAGAGAAAGATGTGAGGTTCAAAGAAAATCAATGGTTTGCCTGAGCTTACCTGGTACGTACAAAAGCCACATCTCCTATCTTGTCCTCTAACATACCATGCTCTCAATTTGTACCGCTCAGTAATTAATCACACCCTCTTCATACACACCAAAAATAAGTATTTGTATTCTTTAGGCTTGGCTTAGGAGTTCTCTGATGTCCAGAACCAAGCTTTCCACATCTTCCTAAGAGCTAGCTTTGGTACTTTAACTTAGATTCTAGAATTCCCTTAGTCACCTATATGGCTGCTCACTTGTTAGGTACCTTGTTCAGGTACAAACATTTGGAATGATGAACAGGGCTATTAACCTGTGATGATGAAATATGGCTACTGGGCATCACTGAGAAGCACTACTTTACTGCAAACAGGTGCAAGCCAAGTGAATATAGCTGAGACCTCTAGATAGCTGACATGAAATAATGTCATGACAGCTGAGCAAGATTAGTAACCTTGTTACAATAAGCAATTTTGTTTGTTCTTACAAACCTTAGAACACATGACCAGCATGGAAAAAAGCTGGAGGACTGCAATGTTCCCTTACTTACCACTGGTATGTTCATGTTGTCCTTTATTATTCTCTGGTTTGCTGTTTAATAAAAACAGCAATTCAACTGCCATGCAAATTGCTGCGGCTAAATGTGCTTCCATCAACATTAGCTAATGAAAGATTTTTGGTGTAAAGGGCACCAGCCCTGTGTATTTTCCTTGGATTGGCTCCAAGTTTTAAAGGTACTGATACTAACTTATTATGACATTCAGTCATTAGAGGGAAAAAACTCCACACTAAAAAAGCAGGACACTCTATATGGCAATTGCAGAATCTGGCTGTTTTGTTGCACTTTGCTTGTTTCATGTAAAGTAATATATCATGACCATATATTTGCTAAGAAAATTTTGCACCACTTTTCTGCAGTCTTTCCAACCAGGGGTTTGGCTATTTAAGAAAGTTTAATATGTTTTATTTTGTTTCTGGTTTCCTGTAGCCAAGAACCTAGATAAGTGATTTCTTTATTTATTTGTCCAGGTGTACATGAACAACATCTATTAACTTGATCCTTCGTATGAATATTGAGGATCAATTTCAGAAAGGTCTGTTTTTCCTTTAGCCTTTACTACAAAACATCTCATCCATAGGCCAGCTGATAGTGGCCAGAAAGGCAAAGAAACATGGGTTCCA